AGAGGGGCTTTATTGTACCTACGCATTCTCAAATTGCTGCATCAGTGCTTTTAAGGGAAAAGAAGGATGGCTCTTTATGTTTATGTAGAGATTATCGGGGCCTAAATGCCATTTCTACAGGCAACCGGTACCCACTCCCCTTAATGAAAGACCTGTTAGCCCATTTATCCAAAGGGAAATTTTTCACGAAGCTGGATTTAAGGGATGCTTACTTCAGGGTGCGAATCTGTGAAGGAGATCAATGGAAAACTGCCTTCAACTGCCCACTGGGGTGCTTCCGTTATGAAATAATGCTGTTCGGATTAAAAGGAGCAGCGGGGGTGTTTATGCAACTCATAAATGAGGTGTTACAAGAGGATTTGTACCAGGGGGTGTTGGTTTATCTGGATATCTTGATTTATACTGAAACCATGGAGCAGCATGTACAATTAGTCAGGAAAGTACTAAAAAAGCTACTGGAGGCACAATTGTATGCCAAGCTCTCCAAATGCGAATTTCATAAACAGCAAATTGACTATTTGGAGTATAGAATTTCACATCAGGGAATTGAAATGGACCCGGTCAAGGTGAGGGACATCACGGGTTGGGAGGCTCCCAAAACCAGGCGACAATTTCAACGTTTCCTGGGCTTTGCTAACTTCTATCGGCAGTTCATACCCAACTTTGCCCAAGTAGCCCTCCCACTTGTTGAAAACCAAGGGCAAGGATAAGGCAAAGGCCTCTAAACCTGGAGCCCCCTTGGCCTGGACTAAGGAGTGCCAGGAAGCATTTCAAGGTTTAATGCAACTATTTATGGCTGAACCGATCTTAAAGCACCCTGATCCAGAACAGCCATTTGTCATCCAGGCAGATGCTTTGGATGTGGCAGTGGGAGCTGTGCTGTTGCAGAAAGGAGGGGCGGGAGAGCTATTTCCATGTGTGTACATATCCCAGAAATTTTCGGAAACTGAAAGACGCTGGTTGGTGTGGGAAAAGGAGGCGTTTGCAGTGTGCTGGGCTTTAGTTTGCCGGAGATACTTGTTGGAGGGATCACCCCATCCCTTTGAAATTTGGGCTGATCACAAAAATCTAGAGGCTTTGACTGCATCGAGGAAACTGTCTCCCAAGCAAATGAGATGGCCACAATATTTTCATCGATTTAACTTCTCCCTGAAGTACATTCCTGGGGGAAAAAATTTCCTGGCGGACGCCCTGTCTTGATTGCCTCAACACAACAGCAAGCAAGAAGAAGTGGTCGCTCCTGTAATTCCATGTGCCCAAGCAGCCTTAAGAGTGGTCACAAGAGCTCAGAGAAAAAGGGGTGAAGAACAACCAGAAGGAGAATTATTGAAAAAATTAAATGCCCAGATTGCCCAGGATGACTGGTTTAAAAAAAATAGCCAATTGCTAGCAAACAATCAGGGGGCATGGTGGTGGCAAGATAAGCTGTATGTCCCCACAGACGCTAGGAAGTGGGTCTTGCAAAGAGGTCACGACAGCAAAACAGCTGGTCACTTTGGCTTAGTGAAAACTTTACATCTACTCAGGTGTCAATTTTGGTGGCCAACTATGAGAAAAGATGTAGGGGAATATGTAGCTACATGCCCCACATGTGCAATGGCCAAGAGGA